CTGCATCCCCATCAGGAAGTCGACTCATTTCATTTTCTTGTGCATCAGAGGAGTGCCTTTTTGCATCGGGCGTTGATCTCTCCGGTGTCTCCCTGTTGAGTGGTGCGTTCCCTGAAGATGCTTTTGGCCCTGACTGCCCATTGTTTTCTAAATATGTCGTGTCCTGAGTGGGTAGTGCACCGCCATTCTTCCCTGAAGCGTCTCCGTTGTTGGAAATGGTAGATGAAGAAGCACCACTGGAAGGTGGCCCGGAAACGGGATCTTCAACCCGAACGGGACCGCCATCGCCTTCACCAACAACTGATGCTTGTGATGGTGGTGGTGGTGGTGATGGTGCTTGTAGCGTCGGTGCTTGTGGTCCTGGCGTTGTCGGTGATTCTTTTATTGATGCTGCTGTTGGAATTCCTTCTACTTCTGGAGCTTTTGGTGTCTCATTTTGTTTTAATAAAAGTTCGGGTGTCTTCCTTCCATTCACTTGTGGAGCATTTTCGTCTTGTTGTCCTTCTTCACTTTTTACTATTACTTCATCTTCTCCTGCTTCACTTCCTTCTTCCGAAGATTCTTTTGCGGGTGTAGGTGCTTCTTCCACGCGTTTCGGCGGTGGATTTGATACTGCTTTTAACTGTATAAGTGGTTCAGGGCTGCTTGGTAATAATACTGCACGTTCAGCGCTTTCCGGCAAACCTTCACTATCAACACCTCTGCCATCGCCATCGCCATCACCGGCCGCCGACACCAAAACGGCACCGCACCACAGCACGCAGAGGGCACACACCAGCAGCACACGGCCAGTCATCATCGCCATCACTCCTGTCACTTGCGTGTAGCCTTCAGCACAAACTAACAACACGTCAACGCAGAGTGAAAGCAAAAACAAAAGAAACGGCACAGTAAAAAACACCAGCACCATGCATTTCATGAGAAACATTACACCCATGAAAGGGTAAGAAAAAAAAAAAAAACACTCCGCAATAATTTAACAAGAAAAAAACGCAAAACAAAACAAAAAAGAGTAAACAAGCAGCAATTAAGTAAAAGCATTAAAAACACAAAACCCTGCACCCAAAGGGCTCCAGTGTGCATGCACCCTCTCTCAACAGTGCGTCCACGCAAACAGTTGTACGCGTGTCGTGAACGTGAGTATTTCTGGAATGCATTCAAAGTGACGGATACAGGGAGCAGCAACACGGAGCACACAGCTGGGCAGCGGAAGCAAGTGAAGCAAAACACAATCATTATTTCCTCTTATTTATTTATTTATATTGGACCACAGTGGACGCACAAGTCCCCGCGGTTCATTGCTGGAACGCACAGCCCGCACACACCTCTTCAGCCCAGAGTGGTGTACGCCAGCGCGGATGCGGCGAGCAGCAGCGGGGCACAAACCCACGCAGAGCTGCTGAGGCTGCCGTCGATTTCGCGAAGAAGTGAAGGTGCGCTGGTGGTCGTCGTATTTGGCGCCTCTGTGGTAGTAGTCGTTGTCGCCTTATCACTTTTTGCCTGTGTTGTAGTGGTGGTCGTCGCGGCAGAATCTTCCGCGTTCGAATCCGTTTGGTCTGTGGACTGACTCGTGCCATTTTTTGACCCTGTCATACCTTTATTAGTTTCTTTCTGTAACTTATTGGTCGAGTTATTTGGTTTCTTTCCCAGGTTGGTCAAACCTTGTCCACCTTCGTCAATTTTACAACAGAATTACCAGGGGATAAGAAGGAGCCTGATGCTCAAGGTAATGCAGGTACCAACAATCTGTTGACCCTTGCGCCAGTGGGGAAATCACCGGGTGCCGACCACTCGGGGTCGTTAGGTTCGGGTCCCGGTGGTGATTCTGGAATTAGTCGTGGTGGTCTGGGGAGGGACGACAGACGTCAGAGTCTCTGCCTCACACACGGACGGGCAGCAGCACAGGACGAGCACCAACAGGACGCACAGCAGACGGCACTTCTTCATCGTCGTGAGTGTGGTCGTTCAGTGGTGTGGAGCTGATCTGCACAGTGAGGGACATGGAGAGCAACAGGAGAGACAAGAGGTGCGGCAGACACACACAGAGGGCACACCACATGAGGAGAGGGCAGCAGCCAGGCATGCACCGTACGCCGCACACCACGCAAGACACACACTCCAATCCACGGCAACAGGCACACACACAAACCTGCACTCTGTAATACTTGTGTTGTACAATTGTTGTGGTCAGTGCATGCGGTCACACAGAAAAGGAGCGAGAAAAGAGGAGACCACTACGGCTACACACCAGAAGGGACGAAAAAGGCAAGAGGGCCGTGCCGCGTCGGCAGTCGGTGCGTCACTTACCTGCGGACCAGGCGTCGTGCGCGATTGTTGTCGCTCATCGTGACGCATACGTCCTCGTAGCCCCAGAGGGTGGAACATCCAACGCCAATCCAAACACCGCTGTCAACACGCCATTGCCATAATCGTGAAGAGCCGGCTGGCACCACACACGGCAAGAAGGACACACCAAGACACGCCATGCACCAAAGGGGCGCATCAAGCCCGCAAACAGTGCGCACCGCTCCAACACCGCAGGGCCCTCACGCACGCACCATCCTCCTCCTCCTTATCTTCGGCTCATTGCCGCCACATCCGACACCCGCACCTCACAATACCAGAGGAAAACACAAAACAGCTGAAGCAGCAACAACAGCAAAACTGCCACCTTGTTGCGCTGAGGCCACTGCACGAAAGGGTGTGCCGGCGACGGGAGTCCATCGCGCAGGAGACGGAAATGAGCCCAGCGAGACACCCAAGAGCCACACGTTGGCAGTCTTGTCGGGGCTGCCCCAACGCAACCACAACAAATAGTGCCGCAACCACGGAGCCATGCACCCTGACCCACAGCGTCTTTTCACAATCAGAACAGCAGGGACAGAGGGAATTAAGACACACTACCCGCAGCGCAGCAGAGCACCCGAAACACACACAGCCATTCAAGAACGAACGCAAAAAAACGGGAAGGCAAAAAAATAAAAAGGGTGCATACAGATTGAAAGCCGAAGCACAGAAATTATTTAAGGTCCACATTCTCGCAATGACGCACAAAAAGAAGCGAATCCACAAAACCAAGCAAAAGCGTAAAAGATAAAGCCGCATGCACCAATTACGGAGGCAGAGGCAGTCGTCCCTGTCCTTCAGAGAAACAGCTGCTGACACGACCCCGCCTCCATTGGAGCACATTTCCTTTACTTTTTGCTCATGATTAGAGTACGGTGGTTTCCCCTCGTCCCAATCGCATCAAAAAACGCGTGTATACATGTGGTGCTGGGAAATGTCTTTTCTCTCCATGTTACTTCGTTCACACACAGTTTTCACGGAAGTTGAACCCTCTAAACAAAAACACCTTTTCCCGGAACAACAAACAACGCAATAAAAGACCGGTCATTTTGCCCATCACCGCAAGCAAAGAAGGACATGGGGAATGCAGTGAGTGTATTGTAGTGTTATTGCTACGGTTTTGCACATCTTGAGTGCGGGGTCAATGTGCCAAGTAAATACTGTCGCCTGCCGCAGTTTGATTGCGCCCAGCCGCTGCGGCTGCTAAAAGAGGCACCACCACTACCGCCGCAGCGACCACAACGAGAAGCACAAAGGGAATTAGGCCAGCGGTAGCAGCAGCCACACCGCCATCACTGTCGGCCTGCTGTACCAACGCATCGGGTATCGCCTGGAAATAGTCGCCGTTGACGGACGGAATCGGAGTGGCAGGCGCGGAGGCACTGGGAACCACCGCTGGGCAATCCGCCCGCGGGTCGCCCTTCGCTCGAGCAACGTCCTCGCCGGGCGATGGCGCAAAGAAGGCGTCGGGGCTGGAGGCTCTGTTGGCTCCCTCGCTCCCACTGCCAGGTCTCCTCCCTCGCCGCTGAGTGTTGTCCTCACTTTCGGTCCGCACCCCGGATCACCCCTCGGACCGGCATGAAGGCCACCACCAGCGACACCCGCAGCCGAAGCACCGGGAGGCTCCTTTTCAATGGAGGCACCAGACGCCACAGGAGACAACTGTGGACGAGTATCCTCCGGAGAAGGCGACCCTGAAGCAACCGCAGATTCTTCTGCCTCCTTCTCTTGCTCGTCACCCTGTCCATCCACCAACGCTCTCGGAACGACAAGACTGCTGCCGTTCGCGGCAATGGTGCACACCTCGCCGTAAGTGGGCGGACTTGATCTTCCCATCTTTCTTAAAATATTTCAACGTCACTGGGATGTCAGTGTCCTCAGGGCAAGGCTGAAACCCACTGCTGCCGAGGTGCCTCACCCTCACTGTGCCCTCCCCACACGACACCTGCGCGCACACTCCCCTGACGCTTTTATGTCCATCATCGTCCTTCGTCTCCAGTAACTCCGCGTCCAGGCACCACGAGCCGCCGCCAGTCAGCGACCCACGGAGATAATCCACATTTTCGTCCAAGCACGTATTGTACTTTATCCCAGACGACATTTCGTGAAATTCCAAAGAAACAACAGGGCAAACATCCTTATCCACCAGACTCCCCTTGTCCTCAACGATGCTTTCGGTGCACGTCCCAACGTGACGGCGGTCGGAGGTGCAGCGAGGCGTCTCTGTGTCTTTAGCATCGCAAAACATGTGAGCATACTTGGCGGCAAGATTATCGGTTGTATTGCACTTGTTGACCAGGAAGTCGCAGCCACTGCCGCTGCCCCAGCCCATCGGCTCCGCCATGCTCCAATTCACGCGGTAGTATCCCATATCCTCAAAAGCCGCCATCGTCAGAGCCGTGTAGTAGCCGGCACCGACTGTGGGAGCCATCAGCTCGTCCCGCGCGTGGCGTCCCTTCCAGTGAGGGATTTCCTTTTCCCGAGTTCCATCTTCGTCCTCCAGCTCCATGCCCTCGAGAGTCTCATAACCAAAGTGCGCTTTCGCCTTCTCCTGAACGTGCTTCCCCGCCACCATCCTGCGGTGCGTCCCACGCACACTTCTCTCTGGCTTCTTCACCAGGCTCTTTTCTCTCATGCTCTCCTGGATGAACCCAAGCGCATGCACAATTTCGTGTGCGGCAACGCGAACGCTCCACGTCGTGTCAGTCATGTACTTCGGTAAAATTTCATGGCGCCAATGGAGGGGCGAAGATCCGTCGATGTGTTGCACGTGGCCGCGCACACAACGCACCCGGAGCGAGCACCCACCACACCAGCCACACGCGACACAAAACTTCCGGCCATCCCGCCATCAATGGGACACGGAGCCCAACTCAACGCAGTCACACGCGGTGCACCACACCCGCAGGAAAAGAGACTCGGGCTGCGCGCTCCCTCTCCTCCCTTCTCATCATGGCCACGGAAGAAGACAACAGCCGCCACACGCAACTGCCAGCATGCACCGCAAAAGAAGCATTCATATCCACTGCAATGTGCATCTTGTGTGTGTGGTTGTGTGCCTGCAGCAACACAAAGCAAAAAAGTAGAAAAGAGGGAGCAGAGTATGTGGAGGGACGCACAAAAAAAATAAAATGTACAGCGGAGTTTCATGGCGGAAGCAACAACAAGAAGACCGGTCAAACTCACGATTCCACCGCAGCCCAAGCAGCGGCAATTAACACAAGATTTATTGAAAACAAAAACACTTCCCCCTTCAACCTACACAAACCCCATCACACAAAATAATTATAAATAAAAGAAAGAAATCGTCCATTACTGTTCCACACAAATTAACAAAAGACAGCCGGCTGCCGTGTGGCCACACCAAACTGTCTTCATTTATTTTGCCCAAAAAAGAAAATTAAAAGATATTTAAATGTCTTTCAGCCGTCCGACCCTCTGCGTGTCCGCACATCGTTTATATTTCATGGCGTCATCTGCGTGTTGCTGCTCCCCTCAGTCCTCTCATCGGCGCGTGAGTGCGGCCCACAGAACACAGTCACTCGTGTGTGTGGGGACTGAGAGAAGCACGCGGACATGACGGCAGTCGCGTCTCTCCATCGGGAGAGTGAGCGCAGCAAAAGAAAAAATCATCGGGGGAAAAGAAATGCTCACGAGGCCGACACCGAAGGGACTGCCGGCGCGTGAAATGCACACGCAAAGCAAAACAAATCCTTAAAGAAAAACACGGCGGCAGGGTGTGGCTGTGTGTGTGGCGCTGCGGGTTTCTGCCCGCCCTGGCCGCAAAAAAAACAAAACAAGAGGGAAGAAATGTGTGCTCCGCCCCGCAGGCCCTCGTCGCACGCCCACACGTCACGGCTCCCTCAGCGCGCCGTTCGTCGCGGCCCCTCCTCATGCGTGCAGCAGGCGAGGCGCACAGGGCCGTCGTCATGAGTGTGTCGGTGGGTGTGCGAGTGGAGCAGTTGGGCGGGAAACACACGGCACCCCTCGCAGGAAGAGTGCAGAAGAAACAATTAAAAGAGGGAAGAGTAGAAAAGAAAAAACGTCCATAGTGATTGCCCCAAAAAGAAAAAAGGAATGCGGGAGTGAAAGATAAAAAAAAAAAAAATAATAATTTAGGAATAAAAAGAAGTAAAAGGAAAAAAAAAGAAAAAATTAAGAACGCACAACAAAGCAAAAGCAAGAAAAAGCAAATTATCTTAAGGATAAATTAATTACCGTGTAATTCTCTGCTGGGAATGTCGCAAGTGTTTTCACGCGACATCCAGTCACTCCCACAGAGCCGAAACCACCCACAGTCCCAACAGAAGAAGAAGCAGCGATGGCAGCAGTTCGCTCTCACGCACAGTGCCAACATCGCTGTCATTCCCCTGCGACACATTTACGAGGCTGCTGCTGAGTGCCGTAGCATTTAATTCCCTGACCCGTGAATGGACCTCTCCCTGCCCATCCGTTCTTCCCGCCGTCTCCCCACTCTCACCGGAGCTCAAGTTCACCCCAGTTGTCACTGCGGGGTCAAATTGCCCCACGGTTTCAGCGGTAGGAGCGTTTGCGTCTGCTGTGGTGGAAGTGCCCGCAGAAGTTTGAGGTGGTCTGTCTCCCGGCACCGTATCTCCAGCTTCCGCTCCCACCGTTGGATCACCATCGGGTGAAGAAACGACATCCACGTTTTCACTTCCACCGGGAGACGTTCGCAACGCCAACTGCTTTACAGAACCCTCCCCTGCCGACGAAGTGGCGGTGGAAACTGCTGACGTGGATACACCGCCACTGCCCACACCCCCATCTTCATTCGACGATTCATGCCCCAACGACGGTTGCCCGTCAGAAGGAGATTGCAACAGTGTTCCTTGCGCACTTCCACCTACCGGAGGCGGAATGGGGACTTTATTTGGGTTGAGGGTGCCAACCTCCGCAGCACTCAACGGACGGTTATACAGCAGGACGTTCGTCACGGTCACGGAGACTTCTTCTTGGCTTTCTGCGTCGCCTCCACCCACTCCAATGTAGAAGTGCGAGATATCTTTCGATTCCGTATTTTCCAGTGAACGCGTTTCGTCCCCCACGCGCTCACCATCGACGTACGCGGTGCTCTGGTTGCCGTTCCGCAGTACAATGACCAATTGGTGAGTTTTCCCTGGCTCCCAAGGGCCGCTGAGCCACTTGTTCTCTCTGCCATCGCACAGTAGCATCCATTTCTTTTCCTTTCTCGTACGACAGTCCAAAAACTTTGTTTTTCCCTTTCATCCTCTTCACACCCATCACTGGAATATTACCCACCTGCGGCACACCGTGGACGGACACCGTCGCCACAAGAGTGAAGTTGTAGTTCGGAAAGTGGTACAGCTGATTCTCCCCCTGGCTGCCAACGGGCCACTCCGCCCACGCTCCCTGGAACTGCACACCATCGGAAGTCTTTGTTGCCCCATCATCATTCGTTCCTTTCCTCACTGTGGCGTTCACCCCAAGGTACTCGTCCCTCCATCTGCCATCAGAGAATTTGCCAGACAAAAAGCCAACAAGCCCAGCCGTGATCTTAACAGCGCCGCAGGTACTGCTAGTTGAGGCACGCTCCGCATCACTTTTAGACGGACACAGCTGGGAGACACGCTTTTCCACTTCCTTCCAGGTCGCAGGCACCTCCTTTACCCGCTGCAGCTGCTCAGTCAGACGCAAAGACCAAAGGCTGTTTGATGATTTTTCTTTCTCATCACCCTTCTTCTCGTACAGTGCAACCAACCCATCATTATTATTACTATCAGTTCCACTTCCAGCACTTTTGTACAACAGGGAGCTGGCGGCAGCGTCATCATCCTTCCCGGATACCGGCCCAATATCAACAATGTGCGTATTGTCCGTCAGCCAAAGATGGAGTTCGCCGTTTTCTTTTTCGTCTTTGAATACACCGGCAGAGTAACGAGCATCACGTCCCTGTTACTATCGACACCGTCAATCGTCGCTGTGGTGAACCCGCTTCTAACGAGTTTCACGTTTTTATCCCTTTTGCTGCCCCACACGCGCGAGAGTGTCCCGAGGGCCTCCGTCCACGAATCCCCCCTTGTCACCAGACTCGTACACCCTGCGGCGGCCGTCACCACACGCAGTCATCATCATGAGTTTTTTGTCCTTCCACTCCACAACGGAGGGATCACTGCAGCCACCGTCAGACATCCCCTTCGACACGTCCAACTCGCAGTACTCAAGGTGTATATGATGAGCAACGAAACGGTTTTTCCATCCTCTTCGGTGCCATCCTTCTTCTTCTTCTTCGTCCCTTCCACTGGGAACACAAGCGTACCGTCCTTCATCTTAACACCTGATCCACCGCCGCCAACCATTCCTGTTAAAAATTCGTGTTGCCCGCAGAAAGGTGTCTGAGGGAGACTTTTGGTATCGCTCCACTGGATTCCTTTGCCACCGCCACTTTCTTCACCACCGACTTCCCTTTCACCAGCAAAAATCCACAGTCAACTGCATCTCTCTCCTTAACACCAGTGGCAGATTTTCGGCTGTATTTTCCAACAAGCATGTAAATATCATTTCCCTCCAAAACTGTTGTTGGTCGGCTAACATCTACTTTCTTCACCTCTGTGGAAGTGCCTTTCTCCAGTAATTGTTTCTTAGCTTTGGGATCCGTCAGCGCTTCCACCGGCTCGTCAGCAGTTTCCATCGTGAGAAGTTGGGACGCAATGCCAAAAAACAAGTTATCTTTACCTTCCTTCGTCTCTTTGCACTGCGCCTCGGCAACGGCAAAAACGTCACTCCCCACTTTTAGAAGGCCAGAAGCGCCCAACGACTCCACAGTTACACCACCACCCTCATCCTTGATTTCCTTCCATTCAAACGTTGATACAGTCGACGGCTCCGCAGCTTCCGCAGTCACAGCCCCACTGCCACCGCAAACCATCATGATGACGAGGAGCAGCGCAAAATGGAAAAGACGCCGGGACATGTTGGGCCTCTGCGGCTCACTCTCTCCTCCTTCCCTCCCCCTTCCGCTGGATCCGGTCACGCGGCGACGGTTGTGTGTGCGTGGTGCCTTGACTGCAGCAACACGTGAGAGCATATAAATATGTGTGTGGGCGGTGTGTGTGTTGTTGGTCCTTTCAGCGCCCTCGAACTTCACAGTAGCAATTAACGTTTGGTAGCAACTTCCTTGAAGAAAAGTAACGAAAAAAACAGCGGCAGAAGGGCAACACAACAACGGCACACACCGCCACCACTCACAGCGAACCACAACATCAACATCTCCGCAGCTATTATTCTCCAGCACCTCTCAACAGCATAAAAAAACTAAGAAAAACATGTGAACGACCTCCCAATGAGGTACCGCAGGCAATGGCGCTGCAAATAAGTCAAGCGACAGGGAGCCACGTGCGCAGTGAGAAGCGCGAGCGTTGCACTGCACACAAAGCCAATTAGTAAAAATAAAACCACAACGCGAGTGGCACTGCAACGGCACGGCGGCGTGATACCCCGTAGGGAGCTTCGATGCAGACCAGCATGTCACGTGCAAAAAGAGTTGCTTCTCCCGCCGAGCAGAGAGGAAAAACGGCCTCAGCAGCCTAATGATGAGAGGTCGTCTGCACCTCCTCGCAGCACCTGCAAGCTCGGCAGACACAAAGATGCAGATGACGCTCAGCTGCACGCATTGCGGCCGCTGCATCCTTCACTACGGCAACCGCATCCTGTGGAATCACAAGCTGCAGC